CTCTGGGTACCTCAGAAGTTAAAGGGATGGGCAAATGCCATGGTTCAGCCACAACATTCAACAACCTTGTATCATACCTGTAAGTCCCGAAAAACTGGTTGAGGACACCGTTATCCCTGCCACAACCAAAGTGAAACACTTGTCTGCAGCAGCGTACCACACAGCCAATGGTAGCACCTTTCTCTTTACAAAAACAGCATTTCTGAAACCAAGGCAAACTGGTTATCATGGTATACTTATAAAAATGTCATTATGACTCATTATATCACATACATGTTAGTTACACACTTGGAGTTGAAATCCCATCTTGCTTAAGATCAACAAAGATAAATAGATTCTGTTAATGCATACATGCCTAGGCCCCAAATAGAAAACAAGTTTATATGAATAAATAGACAAAAAATGTACCATTATGTATCTATGCTTCTTATTATAAAGAAAAGGAAAAATTAAATGCCATCAAACTGCAGGCACCTTCATGGACTGCAACAAGCTTCTTCATTCTTGACTATATTCCTGGGGCAACTAAATGATTATAACTCATATGTAACTTTATGTTAAATAAGTAGTCCCAAAACAAATCTTTTACCAGTTTTTTGCCTCTTTGGACCTCCTTTATGATGTCTCTAGGCAGAAACCCAAGGATGCCATCCAGTTCATCCTTTCCACTCTGAAACAAACCACTGGCAAACAACTGGAAGGATAAAGTTTGGTACAGATACCACTGGGATTAGGCTAAAAACTTTGACTGGAAAATTGCTTTTCATCTTACTCTTGCATCAAGTTGCATGACAAATAGTATAAAAGAGAAATGGTAAGTTTGCGGTGATTGTTTCAGGCAATAAATAACTAAATAAATAAACTCGAAAAAATCAAATTTAAAAAAAGAAAAAAAAAATTAACACCTTACCATACAAAAATAATGAACAGTAAGGTTTTTCCGGGCCAACTTTTTGCCAAGAAGCTCCTCATTTTCACAGCTGGAATTGCAAAAGACACAAGCACCTGCAAAAAATAATAATATAAACATTATCATCTAAACATATTTAAAACAAAGATAACATTACAACTTTAAGCAGCAGTGTCACATCAGCAAAACCATTTCAAAAGATGCTGACTGGTGCAAAAAGGTCAGATTACACTTTACAACGAAAAATTACAAACATCAAGAGTTTGGGTGTACTTACCATTTGTCGATTTAGCACCTGATTTTTGTGTGGCTTTCGGCATCTCTATAAAAATGCAAGAAGAAACGTACAGAACTTTAAGAAGGCATTACATGTATATAATTTGCTACCTTATGATGAGGTACAGTGTAACTGTTCAAATATCAGTTCTAACTTTATCATTCAATGATTTGGATTAGAAGAGGGGAGGAGAGGTCAATATACAGGGTGTGCCACTACCTAACATTTACAACTCCTTACTAAATAACAATAACTGCAAAAATGCCCAACACGTGAACAAAACGGAAAAACATATTTAATTTCATAAAAATAATTTATCTAATTATTAAATTCATAAATTGTAAATGTAATGCCTCTCCCTCTCACTGTCCATTAAACATAGATCCGCGTGATCAAACAATTGCACTCTAATAAAAATCGTGGGGATACGTTTTTTTTTTTTTTTTTTTCAAAATTTAAAATTAGACACCTTATCATATGAAGCTGGGACAGTACCCGTCAGCAGGCTAGGTCAAGGGCAATTAAAGCATGGCATACCGAGATACTCATTTAAACAAGCGTGAGAGGTAAAATTCTCTTATGTGCAAACTGCTACTAATTCACAAACATACCTGATTAATGCAAGATGCGTTAGTGAACCGCACCTTAATTACACAATGATATCACGAATTATCAACACGTCTAAATGGGCATTTTAATCGCCGAATTTCAACTCTGATTTTGAAAATGACGGTGGCGGGTACCGTCTGTCACGTGACACGCACAACATTAACTGATGACGTTTTGCTCAAGATGTCTGACTCGGCGAAGGTAAACAACGATAATATTATTTTTATATATAATTTCGAATGTTCGATTTTGTGTGAACACGACATGGATGACTGTGTTGGTTTCTCTTTTCTTTAAGTACCGTACATTTAGAAATTGAAATGTGTTCTTAGTACTTTCAGTGCACTCGCTCTCTGTGACTGTATCCGTCTATCTCCCTCCCTTTCTTCCGAGGAACGATACTTTCAGTTTCACTTGCATACTTACATGTTTATCCAGAATTTTGAATGTGTTATCTAATGAAGGTTAAACCAGGTGCATCCAAACATATTTTGACTTTTTATGTTACAGAATGCTGCCTTTCTCAAAATAATAACACGAAATTAACATGTTTCTGAAAGTTGTACAGGTACTCAGTACATGTACAAGCCCAAACGTTAGCCCATGTGATGATGACTTGCAAATGTTCTCATCTATAGTAATGTAATGATAGCAAAAGAAATTGCTGTCATGTGTGTACAATGATTAACAGATTTAAAGTCTGCAGACTAGACTAAAAATAAGTACATGTATTAGTGCTAGTATAGCCACAATTGTCCAATTTTGCTGATCACAGTGCAAAATAAATAAAATATCTGTCTCACGGGCGGATTGAGGCTGTCTTCTGGGTCTTCCAGAAGACAGTCAGATTTTCGAATTTACATTGATGGGTGTCTAATTTGTCTGTGGGAAGATTGAGGATGGATCAACAAAGATAACTTGGAAGACTGTCAGAAAATATATCTGGATCTGCCAGCTGTGTCTGTCTAGATATATCATTGTAATATATCTGCCAGCTGTGTCTGTCTAGATATATTACAATGATACACATTTCATGGCCAAAAACAGGTGTTCCAGGTTTTGCAGGTGATGCCATAATCAAGAATTTACCAAGTGGTTGGACCTGCCAAACATTTTCTTGTAGCCCACTTTTCAAATTGTGATGTCAACTTGGCTTGAAATTCAGAACTATGATATGTTGTGTTTAAGCCATGATACATGCATTAAAGCAATCATTAGAAGAGCTTTTTGTCTATAACAGAATAAATTAAGAAAATATATAAATAAGTTCAAGATTTACTAATCAATATGAAATTTAATAAAGTATTTTCATTGTAAATTGAAAATTATGAATTTTTATTTATTACTGTAGTTTATTATTGGTGTTTCCAGATAGAGTTTGCTGTTCAAATGACATGTCAGAAATGCGTGGATGAAATAAAGAAAAACCTGAATAATGTAAAAGGTAGGAATTGGCAATTTTTTATCCTTTTCTTTAGTGATTGAATATACAGTACAAGTGAGTGATTACCTAATTCATGCGTTCTTGACAACAAATCGGGTGTTGGAGTAGCACACATAGATTTTAACTTGTAATAGTAATTGGAGATACAGTTTTCCCTAGGGAAGAAAAATTGGTCAAGTTAATTATTGGACAGACTGCAAGAGTTATATTTTAGAGTTTTCAAAATGGTTCTTTGCCTTTTTACTTTGACATTTGTCAACATATTAAAAATGCTCTGTCTGAGTTAAAATACCGGTAGTTACGATCATTGTTGAAAATTGACATGATTAGATCTGTCCAAAAGGATCCGATAGTTAAATGGACATTTAGCTGCAACATTAAGATAAGAGTCTTTGTTAAAATAGAGCCGTAAAAGTATCAATTTATTATTTTTTTTACAAATATTATCCAATTTTATTTTTAGCATTGATTTACCTGTATAGCAACATTACTGTTGATATATATTAGACAACTGACATTCTTCACATTTCCTTATACCTGAAACATTTATTAGACTAAGTATGATATTATAAGAAAGTAAGTGTTTGACAGTTGAAATATGTGCCTTATTGTGTGTAGAAGAAGAATATACATATTCTTCCATTGAATTTGATTCTAGATATGTCAAAACCTACATGAATTGTCTTTTAAAGTCCCAAAAGTTGGATTGTTTTTCTCTGTAGATTTTGATAATTTTGTCAGTGCACAAACCTTGCAGCACAGTAGATATTGAACATTCAGTATACTCAGTAGAAACTTTTATGACAATTCCAGGAATACAGTCACTTGAAATAAATCTTGAGAAGGAACAGGTAATAGTAGAAACCAGTCTTCCATCAGAAGAGGTCAAACAGCTTCTAGAACAGAGTGGGAAGAGGGCTGTTATAATGGGTTATGGCTCAGGAAGTGGTAAGTGTCCAAGTAATATAGTATTATTCTTCTGTTATACCCAGTACTTTGACAGGGGCGGATTTAGGCCGTCTTCTGGGTCTTCCGGAAGACGGTCAGAATTTCAAGTTTACATTGACTGGTATCTAATTTTTTTCTGTCGGAAGACGGTCAAAATGGTGGATGGATGAACAAAGATAATTTGGAAGACTGTCAGAAAATATCTCTGAATCCGCCCCTGTTTGACCCACAGCAAATACATAATCATTTTTAATCAGTTGATTGTCTTTATTGTTGTCTCTAGTCTCAGAGTTTTAACTCTGTTTAAACAAACAATAATGTGATAAGATTTTTCCACGAAGATTTATAAAGGATGTACACTGTATGCTCACACTTACATCGATATATACAAGTATTCAAATTTATGACAGTTATATTATTATATGTAAAAAATAAATGCATACATGTTTATTGTGTGTAATTGAATTTTAGGTAGATATTTATAAGTAATCAGGACCGTAGCCAGAGGGGTTTGGGGGGTTCAAACAAACTGCCCATTTCGCCAGGAAAAGGTCCACTTTGGCTGAAATTTGATCTAGGTACACGAAAGGTTACATGGTAAAAGGTCCATTTTTTCAGAAAAAGACCCTCCCCCCTTTTAAATTGTTGGCTTTTAAATTGTTGTTCTGTTCCATCTCTGTGCAGTATCACAGCATCTTGGTGCAGCAGTGGCTATGATAGAAGGTCCAGTCAGTGTGAAAGGAGTGACCAGACTAGTGCAGATAGATGAAAACAAGTGTGTTATAGATGGTACATTAGATGGGCTGACTCCTGGAAAAAATCAGCTGTCAATACATGAGTTAGGAGATATTTCATTAGGATGTGAAAGGTATATTATAATTACTTTTACACACTCATTTTAGGAATTCAGAAATATTTTTGTGCCATGGTTTCTTTGAATCAGGACACAAATGCCAAGTTCTTCCTCATCAAGGGTTTTGATTGCTTTGAGATTATCTTTGTAGAAAGGATGTTTGAAGTCTTTTCATCTGTATTTACATCTTTTTATGACAATTTGGAGAAAAATGCTGTGGCATTATCACTAAAAGAAAAATATTTATTTATTTTACAGCTGTGGAAAGATATATAACCCCCCAAATTCATCTGATAAAAAGGTAAGTGAGATTTATATCCATTAAACTTTGTTATATCAAAGTGCACAAACACACAGTAAACTCTCTGTACAAAAAAAGATATTTTTAAGGTCCTTTTTTACTTCATTTCTCTTGATAGAAATAAAATGAATACAATGGACATTGATTTGCATTTTCCTTTTTAATGGAGAGTTCCATTGTTCACAATTTGGAGGACTTGCCATGATCAAAAATTTCATGTATAATGTATGACATTCCCCACTTATAGCCAATTGGAGATCTAGGCCAAGTGCTGGCAGATGAAACAGGCCGCGCTGTGTTTAGGATGGAGAGTGACAAGATAAAGGTCTGGGATGTCATAGGCAGGTCCATGATCATAGCTGGAGCAAAGGCCTCAGTATTAAGCAGGTAAGCAAGGAAAGGATGTGAGCTAGATATTCCATCTCTATCAGATATTTGATAATGTAAAAAAGTTATTCACCAATTGAATGTGTGAAAATCTGCTAACCTTAGAAAGTGAGAGATGATCAGATCGTGCCTCAGTTTAATTGCTTTATGTCAAGACAACTTTTCATTGCTTCTCCGAGATAAATGTATTTTGACAGTGCTCCTTTGAGACAATTTAACAAAAAAAAAAAAATATATATATANAGTTTTTATATATTATTTCGAATGTTCGATTTTGTGTGAACACGACATGGATGTCTGTGTTGGTTTCTCTTTTCTTTAAGTACCGTACATTTAGAAATTGAAATGTGTTCTTAGTACTTTCAGTGCACTCGCTCTCTGTATCTCTTTCCTCCTCCCTCTCTTCCGAGGAACGATACTTTCAGTTTCACTTGCATACTTACATGTTTATCCAGAATTTTGAATGTGTTATCTAATGAAGGTTAAACCAGGTGCATCCAAACATATGTTGACTTTTTATGTTACAGAATGCTGCCTTTCTCAAAATAATAACACGAATTAACATGTTTCTGAAAGTTGTACAGGTACAAGCCCAAACGTTAGCCCATGTGATGATGACTTGCAAATGTTCTCATCTATAGTAATGTAATGATAGCAAAAGTAATTGCTGTCATGTGTGTACAATGATAAACAGATTTAAAGTCTGCAGACTAGACTGAAAATAAGTACATGTACTAGTGCTAGTATAGCCACAATTGTCCAATTTTGCTGATCACAGTGCAAAATAAAATATCTGTCAGTCTGTCTAGATATTACAATGATGCTTTTGAAGTACACATTTCATGGCCAAAAACAGGTGTTCCAGGTTTTGCAGTTGATGCCATACTCATAATCAAGAATTTACCAAGTGGTTGGACCTGCCAAACATTTTCTTGTAGCCCACTTTTCAAATTGTGAAGTCAACGTGGCTTGAAATTCAGAACTATGATAGGTTGTGTTTAAGCCATGATACATGCATTAAAGCAATCATTAGAAGAGCTTTTTGTCAATAACAGAATAAATTTTTAGTTCAAGATTTACTATTCAATATGAAATTTAAAGAAGTGTTTTCATTGTAAATTGAAAATAATTATGAATTTTTATTTATTACTGTAGTTTATTACTGGTGTTTCCAGATAGAGTTTGCTGTTCAAATGACATGCCAGAAATGCGTGGATGAAATAAAGAAGAACCTGAATAATGTAAAAGGTAGGTAGGTAGCAATTTTTCATCCTTTGAGTTACCTAATTCATGTGTTTTTGACAACAAATCAGGTGTTGGAGCAGAGCACATAGATTTTAACTTGTAATTGTAATTGCAGATACAGTTTTTCATAAAGCATTCAATAGTTTTCCCTAGGGAAGAAAAATTGGTCAAGTTAATTATTGGCCAGACTGCATGGGTTATATTTTAAAGTTTTCAAAATGGTTCTTTGCCTTTTTACTTTGACATTTTGTCAACATATTAAAAATGCTCTGTCTGACTTAAAATAGTCATGGTCATTGTTGAAAATTGACATGATTAGATCTGTTCAAAAGGTACCCCTTTTTGTGTGTATAACTCGCCTGTATTGCAGTATTGTTGGTGGGATCCGATAGTTAAATGGACATTTAGTTGCAAGATTAAGATAAGAGTCTTTGTTAAAATTGGGCCTTAAAAGTATCAATTTATTTTTTTTTACAAATATTATCCAATTTTATTTTTAGCATTGATTTACCTGTATAGCAACATTACTGTTGAGATATATTAGACAACTGACATTCACCTTTCCTTTAAACCTGAAACTTTTATTAGAGTACTAAGTATGACATTATAAGAAAGTAAGTGTTTGACAGTTGAAATATGTGCCTTATTGTCTGTAGAATAAGAATATACATATTCTTCCACTGAATTTGATTCTACTTTCTAGATATCTCAAAACCTACATGAATTGTCTTTTAAAGTCCCAAAAGTTGGATTATTTGTAGATTTTGATAATTTCGTCAGTGCACAAACCTTGCAGCACAGTAGATATTGAACATTCAGTATACTCAGTAGAAACTTTTATGACAATTCCAGGAATACAGTCACTTGAAATAAATCTTGAGAAGGAACAGGTAATAGTAGAAACCAGTCTTCCATCAGAAGAGGTCAAACAGCTTCTAGAACAGAGTGGGAAGAGGGCTGTTATAATGGGTTATGGCTCAGGAAGTGGTAAGTGTCCAAGTAATATAGTATTATTCTTCTGTTATACCCAGTACTTTGACCCACAGCAAATACATAATCATTTTTAATCAGTTGATCGTCTTTATTGTTGTCTCTAGTCTCCGAGTTTTAACTCTGTTTAAACAAACAATAATGTGATAAGATTTTTCCACGAAGATTTATCAAGGATGTACACTGTATGCTCACACTTACATTGATATATACAAGTATTCAAATTTATGACAGTTATATTATTATATGTAAAATAAATGCATACATGTGTATTGTGTGTAATTGAATTTTAGGTAGATATTTATAAGTAATCAGGACTGTAGCCAGAGGGGTTTGGGGGGGTTCAAACAAACTGCCCATTTCGCCAGGAAAAGGTCCACTTTGGCTGAAATTTGATCTAGGTACACGAAAGGTTACATGGTAAAAGGTCCATTTTTTCAGAAAAAGACCCTCCCCCCTTTTAAATTGTTGGCTTTTAAATTGTTGTTCTGTTCCATCTCTGTGCAGTATCACAGCATCTTGGTGCAGCAGTGGCTATGATAGAAGGTCCAGTCAGTGTGAAAGGAGTGACCAGACTAGTTCAGATAGATGAAAACAAGTGTGTTATAGATGGTACATTAGATGGGCTGACTCCTGGAAAAAATCAGCTGTCAATACACGAGTTAGGAGATATTTCATTAGGATGTGAAAGGTATATTATAATTACTTTTACACACTCATTTTAGGAATTCAGAAATATTTTTGTGCCATGGTTTCTTTGAATCAGGGAACAAATGCCAAGTTCTTCCTCATCAAGGGTTTTGATTGCTTTGAGATTATCTTTGTAGAAAGGATGTTTGAAGTCTTTTCATCTGTATTTACATCTTTTTATGACAATTTGGGGAAAAATGCTGTGGCATTATCACTAAAAGAAAAATATTTATTTATTTTACAGCTGTGGAAAGATATATAACCCCCCAAATTCATCTGATAAAAAGGTAAGTGAGATATATATCCATTAAACTTTGTTATATCAAAGTGCACAAACACACACAAACACACAGTAAACTCTCTGTACAAAAAAAGATATTTTTAAGGTCCTTTTTTACTTCATTTCTCTTGATAGAAATAAAATGAATACAATGGACATTGATTTGCATTTTCCTTTTTAATGGAGAGTTCCATTGTTCACAATTTGGAGGACTTGCCATGATAAAAAATTTCATGTATAATGTATGACATTCCCCACTTATAGCCAATTGGAGATCTAGGCCAAGTGCTGGCAGATGAAACAGGCCGCGCTGTGTTTAGGATGGAGAGTGACAAGATAAAGGTCTGGGATGTCATAGGCAGGTCCATGATCATAGCTGGAGCAAAGGCCTCAGTATTAAGCAGGTAAGCACGGAAAGGATGTGAGCTAGATATTTTATCTCTATCAGATATTTGATAATGTAAAAAAGTTATTCACCAATTGAATGTGTGAAAATCTGCTAACCTTAGAAAGTGAGAGATGATCAGATCGTGCCTCAGTTTAATTGCTTTATGTCAAGACAACTTTTCATTGCTTCTCCGAGATAAATGTATTTTGACAGTGCTCCTTTGAGACAATTTAACAAAAAAAAAAAATATATATATATATATATNAATTGAATGTGTGAAAATCTGCTAACCTTAGAAAGTGAGAGATGATCAGATCGTGCCTCAGTTTAATTGCTTTATGTCAAGACAACTTTTCATTGCTTCTCCGAGATAAATGTATTTTGACAGTGCTCCTTTGAGACAATTTAACAAAAAAAAAAAAATATATATATATAAATGATAATCAAAATTTCTCACCTACACTGTGTTGCAGTGTTAAGATCTCCATTTTTTCTTATTTGGATGACAATTATGTAGAGAAAATATATTGAGGTGTTTCATCTCATGAATATTTTCACCATTTTTCCACTTCTAGGATGGGCTGTGGCATAATAGCAAGATCAGCTGGCCTCTTTCAAAACTCAAAAAAGATTTGTGCCTGTGATGGAGTTGTTCTTTGGGATGAAAGAGATGTGCCTATTGCTGGAGCTGAAAGGTCGACCAAAGCTGCACATCGGATTGGAGAAAATTAACCTGTTGCAGTTTTTAAAGATTTTCACCAGAAAGTCAATTACAGTGTATGAAGCACAGTGGGAATTTTCTAAGATCTTGCCTACTGCACATAGAGGCACCACTGTTTCTTAGACATTAAAATTAAAATGATCGGAACAATGCTTGAGAACATTTTGGAACAGGTGTTGAGTGTTCCAAAACAATGGTTCAGCATTGGGTTCACAGAAGGTGCTAAAGTACTCAACTTCAATATAATATTACAGACATTGACTGTACACAAGTATGAGTTTTGTACTTTCACCTTGGAATAATGAAGACATACATATAGAATTGTTCTGCTTTGCTTTAAAAGTTTGTCTCTTTTGAGGCTTGGCTTTTTTATTTTTAAGGCTTTCTATTCATTGGGAAGCATTTATACTTTGTGATGGAAAAATTCCTTCATTTCTCACTTGCAAGATGGAAGGGGAAGCACTTTATCATGCTATGTTTGTGTTCTTTCAGAATGCTTCATGGGGAGCAAAAAAAAATAAAAGTGGATGATTTGTAGTCTTTTTGGACTGAATTGAGAAGTACAAGTGCTTTTGGGCATGTAAAGCAAGATTGAGATCGACAGATATCTTGTAAATAAAGACATTGTCAAATACTTTGTGCATTGATTTGTTAATTCAAATCGTCATTGCCTTTAAATTGCAGAGACTTATAAGACAAAATATGGCAGTTATAATGGTGCTTGAGTGGTATATATATATATAACGTTTCTTAATAACTGGTGGCCTTTCATATAGTCTGCTTACGAGATTCATTTTATTTCATCAAAAAGAGAACGAGGCAAAATATGTTAAAATACCTGTATGTGCAGAAATTTTCAACTGCTCTTTGCTGCAGTCTTCCTTAGTGCTATTGTTTGACCACAAGTTGCACATACTACGGGTATATAACATCTTTTGCCTCATTCTCTTTTGGATGAAAAAAAATGAATCTCTTAAGACTATATTATACATAATACATCCAGATGAACTTATTTTCAAACTGGTATTATTGATTTTTACATTTTCAACAACTGACTTCTTCCGATGAAAGCAAGGAAAATAAAAACATAGTTCACGAGGTTTTGTCAAATTAAGCTTTACTTTATTTATATTTTTTTCGAGGGGGGGGGGAGGATGGGGCGAAAACGGAACGATGGGCACCTCCGAAGCTTGGGTGGCACTTTACCCACTTTACCCCATGGAGTACTTCACCATTTTGGACGTTACATTTCGGCCTATGCACTTTCTTAACCACGCGGGCATTTTTCTGCTTATGAATAATCCCACATTAAAAAAATAACACCAAGACTTAAGTCGACTTTGGAACTTTTGGCACACAGTCCATCTAAAATGATATCATCAAAGAGGTGTGCGTTTCATGTGAGACTAAACTAAGGTCACAAACTACTTTGATCGTAAGCCTTATGTAAAGTTGTAATTTGTATACTGGGACTGTGGTTTAAAGAGAAATATATTGGGAACTTGAAGTTGTATTCAGATAAAATACATTTAATGATGATGAACAACATCATTAATACGAACTGAATTCATCAAATAATGATAAAAAAGTAATTAAATCTGCTTGTATGGCCACTAGGTGCATCACATCTATGGCGTTTACGATCAAAAATTTTCATACTTGATATCACATATATTTATCATTATGTATAGACACCTTTAAAATTCTTTGCATAATAAGTCTCCCCTGCGTCCATATAAAACGAGTCTTTGCGCCAAGAGCATTATTTTATTAGAGAATATACTTTGGCGTTGGGTGGCACGGTCTTGTGCCAGCTGAGCTGTGTCACGGGAGGTCTGAATAATTTTACCGCCTCTCTTTTTATAAATCGGATAAGTTTGTAGTTATTTTCTTCTGCAATATGTTGGGTCAGGCTTTTTATCAGGCATTTTTTCATGTCGGTTTGTTGACAGTGCTGAGTATTTTCCTCGAGATCGGTCTCACAGGTAGGTAATTCACGTCAATTGCATGTGCGCTGTATATTACCCATTATAATGATATCTCAGATTAGCTGCCTCTTTGTTTTTGAAAAGGCTCAAAAATATATCACTATACAGCTTTCAATCATGCAATGTTGAGACAGCAACGGCATGACAAAGCTAAGCAAGGGACAGATAATAGAAATAACGCAATTCGTCTAAAACTGCCTAGATTCAGATTGTCTCTTTTACAGTGGGAGAAGATTCCGGCTGTGGAAACGAAAGGACGCGAACCAAGGCCCCTGGGAACCTCACGTCTCACCCTGAGTACGGCCAGACTCACATACCCCATAATAAATGCATGTGGTCCATACAGTCCCCTCCAGACAAGTACGTGGCCCTACAAGTCCAAGATTTTGGCAATCTACTGTGTCATTCGTCGTTGTTCCTTTGGACTAATTTTGGCGGTAAGCGCTGGCCCGGCTGGCATGGCTGCTCCTTAGAGACGTCGGCAGAGATTCTGGGGTCGTCGTCCTCGTTCAGTTTCGGTACCAGACGAGGCGGGCTTTTGCAGCTCGTCTACAACGGCCTTACCGACCCAGCGAATAGAACGGGGTTTTTCATTACATATGATTTCAAAGGTAGGTATTATTATATGCATTATTAGAAAGTGTGACATGATTTAATTGCATTCGCGTTAGATATTTAGAAAATGGAAAACTACTCTCAAGGAAGCACCTTTAAGTTATTTTCTCGTACATGCATTGCTGTTTTATGATCAGACGAAGAAAAGCCTTTATTTCTGAAATCTTCCCTCACTTTCTGAATGTCAACAACCTGCGAAGGCAAAGCTCATTCTGGACCGCAAAGTTCCTAAGGGGATACGAGCACCAGCCATCTATTAATTCATGTCTGACGGAGTACGTTTTACATATCAATTTTATTTGTCCATTTGAAAAAAGGTCAAATAGGTACATCATGCTGCCTTTAAACGACATGAAATAGTCTTTTAAATTAAAATACCAATTGAACTAATTAAATGTTACTACAGAAAAATTTCTGGTAAACAGGCTTCCACTGACTTCTTGGCAAAAAAAAAAATAAATAAATAAAAATAATTATAATAAATAAATAAATAAAATAAATAAATAAATAGACTTAAATTCAAATTAACTTTCGTGTAGTGTACCAACCGTGGAATATACAGATATTTTACGTAAATTTTCAGAGCCCGGTTGTCATGGTTACACACGCCTTACTGGCACTCCAGCTTGGTTCGCCTCCCACCCTGGTGCAGGGCACTGGGTCTCCGAAGGCAACGCACACTGCACGTGGACTATCACGGCTCCTCGAAATCAGTTCGTTGTGGTGAGGGCAGAAAATATTTGGCTGCATTGTGTGGGAGAATGGCAGACTTTAACAGTTTACGACAGCGCCGAGGCGAGAGAGGACACCTTGATCGCACGAATGGCTTGTTCCAACCGCCTACCATTGTACGCGTCCAGTGGTAACAACATGTTTTTTGTCTATAGAGACATCTGGGCAAGTTCTGGAAGAGGGTTTAACATCTCGTATTCTTTCCGTAAGTGATCATTTTTTTCTTCTTTTACATAGATGCAAGGGGAAATAGTATTATGGAATGATTGCTAGTACTTTTTAAACAAAACGTGATTATATGTCGCAGGAGAAAACAAAGGGGGTACTTACTTTGGCTCGAAATTTGTCAACTGGTTTTGGATATGGTACTTTGCATGATAAAACAAAGAAAATTGTTGATTTTATCCATAAATTTATTTATTTACTTCCCCTAAATCTGTATAACAGTCTAACGCACATTGGATACCTTTAACAAACCGTACTTATTAGTGACAATTCGTATTAATAGACAGTAAACGTCAAAGTGGCTGTGGAGACGACATGTATTATAACAGCACCAGTGGAGTCTTGCAGTCTCACCCAGGGGCGGACGGCACAACCACTTCTCGCTATTTTCCCTGGTCACGATGTCACTGGAGTATCAACATTCCGTCTGGGGCCTGGTTAGGATTAAGGTAATAGACACAGGCTTCTTGCGTAAAATTGATTATACATAAAAGACCAAGGCAGGATGATGAGCTGCACAATGCGAGCCAATTTTAGATCAGCCTTCGCGCCAGGCACCCATTTTGGATTTGCGTATGATACAAATACAAAATTCTAGTGTGAAAATTAAATCTAAAGTTATGCATATATTTTTACATCTATTTTACTACAACGAACTGTTCATTACTAAGTTTGTGATATATATATATATATTTTTTTAGGTTCGAATGGTTCGACGTGTACGCAAGCTCAGTTAGCCAAGAGAAGAATTATTGTGAAGATGACAAATTAATAATCCAGATAGGAGATTTCAGACGAGAGTTCTGTAACATTCACCGGCCAGACGGCGATGGGCTCCGTATAAGACTGCCAAGTACACCGACAGTAATAAATATATCGTTTATAACGGGACCTGTTAGTCTGTTCAACAAACAAGGAAGAGGATTTAGAATAGTATATGCAGGTACGTGGACCCTTATATATATATATATATATATATATATATATATATATATATATATATATATATATATATGGCAGTAGGGGTAACATGCTGCCCACCCTGACCCCGTGGGGCTCACTCTATTAAAATCACCAATAATAATAATAATAATAATAATAATAATAATAATAATAATCTTTTGATACTACTAGTAGCACTATGACCCGTCCCGATAAATGACCTTCACATATGAAGACTTTTTGTTTCATTTAACCATTCTTACAGAGTAAATTATCGAAAAGAATGTCAAGCTTTTTATTACGTTATTAACGGGTCATGATGTTTTATTATTAACAAGTACAATAGTATGGCCTTACAGATTTAAACTGAACTTTGTATATCCACAACAGAATCCATTCAACAGTAATTTTACACATAATCCGACCTGTTGGTATCACATTTGATATTTCCTTCAGTAATGTGTCGTACTGCAGACGACACTTACGTCGGTGTCCGCGAGGTCCACCGTCAGGACCACAACTGCAGTCATGGAGAGGTGCCAGCAGGGGACCTGGACCGAGTCTGCCTGCCCAACGGAACTCTTGCCGGAGTACCCGTTATCTGCAAACGTACGTGCAAACTAACTCAACAGGGGTTCAAAGGAATTGTTTTTTGTCAGTGAACTCATGGACGTGAAAAGAAATTGAACCCCCAATAATCACGTTTTGGAACTGATTGATCTATTTGTAGATGTTTTCAATCCCCTAAGTATAGTTTATAAAAAGTGATCTTATTTAAAGTTTTTTATATGTTTGTTTCTTAAATACGGATTTGATTGTTTGGAGAAAATGGTGTTTCCCATTACTTTTTAAAAGTTATGTTTTTCTATTTCAGAAAAAAAATCATGTTGTTTTATGTTTAAAACCTTCCAATTTTAATTACATACTAAATATTTCTCCAGAATTAGATTCAAGTATGAGCTTAAATTATGACCGCTTGATTTTTCATGTCTCACAATCTTTGCTATTCAATGACATTTAGCCGTGGATTGTGGCCTGGCTAGCGACGTAAGAAATGCTGTTCCCCACTACACCGGGACTACCCACCGGGGCAGGGTGCGATACACTTGTACCAAAGGCCATGAGCACACGGCAGGGTCGGCTGAAAGGATTTGCACCGCAGATGGTGTGTGGAAGTGGACAGGAGATCCCATGGAATGTGAAGGTAAAAGCTGACACATCCTCCCCCCCCCCCCTCTCTCTCTCTCTCTCTCTGCACAACGTACGGGAACGTGGCTGTATACTCCTGTCTTTCATTGAAAAACTTTTCATAAATGATTTGCACCCCCTACCCCATCCCGAGGTGTATTGGAGAAGATGAGGTTATGCACGTGTACCCTCTTTTCACAGTCGTTGATTGTGGCGCTTTTCAGAATTTTAGTCAATGAAGAAAGAAATTACCACTGAAGCCAAGTATTAGATCGCTGGGTCTAAAGGCTGCGTTTCTTCGTTCACTTCAGTTATAGATTGCGGAACACCACCTATTATAGAGGACGCTTCCTCAATTCTGCTGAATTCAAGTACGTGGTACGAGAGTGTAGTTTCCTACTTCTGTCCAACGGGGTACTTTTCCCTTGATGGAAATAAGACAAAAGTGTGCCTAGATGACGGATTGTGGTACGGAGAAGACCTAATATGTCAACGTGAGTTCACAAAAATTGGTCAAAAAAAAAAAAAGTTGGACTCAAACATAAAGTGACTTGGCGAAATTTTAAAACAAATTTTGCCGTTCGAACTGTTACATTTTATGTTAAAGAATTTATAATTTATCTTTTTTATGTGAATTTAACGTTTTGGTGTAGTAAGCACCAAAACTGTTTTATCCAAAAAGAAATTAAAAGCAAATTGATTTCTAGAAAACAGTAAAAACTGAGATTAATTAGACAATAAATCATTCCAGGCGTAAATTGTGGATCCCCCGTTATTGTTGGTAACGCTACCAGGACTGTTGATACGACCTCTTACCTTGGGCGAGCGATCTATGCTTGCTTTCCCGGCTTTAGCACCCCGGACGGAGAGACCATAATCGTCAGAACTTGCAGTGCCTCGGGAAAATGGGAAGGGACGTTTCCTGAATGTAACAGTGGGTATACCGGTGACATTCATGTAGTCTAGATTGTAGTCAGAACTCGGAATTACACGGCCAGTTAATAGTAGTGCACGAATAGACTTGTAACACGACTATTTTCTTAAAATTTTCGTATGTGTTGGTTTAAATAAGGTCTCATTTTAAAGTATTTAAGACAGATAGTTGAAGCAATTTAATTCACCCGACTGATGGCGTCTTGTGAGAATTAAAGTCTGCTAGTCTCTAAAAATTAAAATGGTTCAAAAAGTGAACAAGTCACGTTGCTTATCAGTTGTAGACTGTGGAATCCCAGAAAAGTTACACGGTGCACGTATGCAGTACACAAGTACGGTGTATGGAAGCCTAGTTAATTATACCTGCGACACAGGCTACACCCACGTGCACGGCTGGAAAACCAGGAAATGTCATCATAGCGGAGCATGGGTGGGAGAAGAGCCTGTTTGCCAAGGTAAAAAAATCTCTTTCTTGATGCTATTTAAGGTAAACACAAAGAGAATTTAATAGTGACAATGTGGTGTTATCCGTGCTATTGTTCAAAATAACCATGAACTATTCTCTTTTGCCTTCCCAGTTGTAGACTGTGGTTCCCCGCCATTGGTCCAGAACACAGTCAGCAGTCTGAACGGCACAACTTACGGGAACGTGGCTGTATACTCCTGTCTTCTCGGTTACCGGGCTGTTAATGGGTTCCATAGCATTGCTACCTGTGACGCTGCCGGACACTGGATAGGGGAACATTTACGATGTGAAGGTTAGTGGTGTGTGTTCAAAATAAAGCGACACTTGATAAGCTGCACGGTTTTTGACTAACTACGAAAATATAATCACCATACTAATTTATCACTGCAGGGTATGAATATGTTATTAGCTATGAATTTGATTAAATTTGTGTTTTTCTTTTGTTGTTTAGTAAATTGCAAATTAGTAATTGGCCTATTTAGACCCGCTCAGAATAATGTTATAAAAGAGGCTTAGCTTCTACCCTCAACCAGGGCCACAGATAGATTTTTCACTAAATATTAACGGATAATATGTTTCTGGTTAAATAGATGGCTAATCGCTGCCTCAGCAAAAATGTCCACGACAATAACTGCGGTCCTGGTAGAAGGTACTTAGCTTCAGCTTCCTCTAAAAATACACATTCCATGAACGTTATCTGTTGAATATTTCAACATTGTTTTAACAATAAATAAATACATTTTCTTTAGCATTAGATTGTGGGCCTCCCCCAAAGTTAGACAACTCCATAGTTCGGACACCATATGGTACTACCTACCTCAAGATTGCCATATACGTATGTCTCCCAGGCTACAGGGGAGTGTCATTCATGATTAAGTTTTGCAAAGAGGATAGTTTTTGGAAAGGACCAGATTTACAATGCATAGGTACTATTAGATAACATAACATCTTCACTTATCATTTTTGCCCAGTTTTGTTACCATTTAATTCAGCAGAGTATTTAACGTTACGAGATGAAGAGTTTGCAGGGCAAAAACTTAAAATAATGTCCTTATTGTATAAGCAATAAGTGTAGCTTTGGACAATTTTTAAATTGCTTGTGTTTTATAGCATTTCCTTAATTTGGTCAAGATGTGAATAGACGTGGATTTTCAATGTTTTTTATTTAACTGTTTTATAGCTATAACTTCTCTTTATTTCACCTACTTCAGCTGTCCCTACGAGTCAGACAAGTCATCCTGAGATTGCAACTCCCGGTCTGTATAAAAGCACCAGCAATATCCTTTACCCTGGAACAAGAATGACTACAAGTCGTCCAATGATTGGTGAACGCGCAGGTCTACTGTCAACGCATCGTCTGACCTCACTAAAACACGCGCCTGTGACAACAGTCAGCACCAACGCGGGACCAGATGTAAATGGCAAAGCAGTTTCAGCTTTGCGTGTCTCGGAGCACTCGGTCACACCTAACTCGACCTTTGTCCACAAAGATTCAGGGGATTCCCAAAAAGAACCACAGGGTCAAACGAATGATGCAACGTTGCCATTGAAAAACGACACTCTTTCTGAAAACACTACTAGAAGTGCTCTCACGGCTTCAGATGTCTCTGGAAATTCACTGAAGTCAACTCAAGTCACCGTCATCTCACTGGCGACGGCTACGGTCTTCCTTGTCGTCGTTGTTGTCCTGCTACTTCTACTCTACTACAGGTTCCTTAAAGGCAAAAACAGACGTTCTTCGCCCGGTGAGATAGTTAGATACCAGCCAGACAACCCTTTTCCTGTAGTACACGGGATGGAGAATCCGATATATGATACCAGTGTGATGCCGAACACGACAAACGAAGTCGCCAATGACGGTTCAGAGAGTATGCAAAATTATCTACCTGGAAATTCTTACATTACTGTTGATAACAACAGTGATGCATAAAAGACAATAAAAAGAAAATGTGTTTGTGTGTGTGTGTGGGGGGGGGGGGGGAGGGGGGAGTAACGTTTGTGAACGCGTGCGTGTGTGTGAGAGAGAGAGAGAGATGGAGTGAGATAGAGCGATGTACGGTTCTGATCAAAATAACACATAAATGTAGCCAATAAAAAACTAGCAAACCTTGCAAGTAAATACATCTGTTATATCGTGTTATCTCAGTCATATAGTTATTTTAGTAATATAGTTGTTTGAATATCAAATACTTTAAAATAATTCATTTCATTATTGTTGGCGTCTTATGCCATAATCCATATCCAAAAATAATGACAGTTAATTATGACAGTTCTGCGAATGAAAACGAGTTTCAAATACATATTTATACTGCGCTCATTATCAACCTCTAGAGTGACAATCTTCCAAATTATTTCAGCTTAAGTGTCTTTTGGGAGCGGGGTGTTTGAAACCACAGCATAAACAGGATCCCCAACTTTGATAGTGCCACCAAACTTATCAATGGCCAGATTGATACCTAGTATGGGGTTGTCACGGTACTCAGGGTGCTGACGATATCTGAATGAAAAATTGGAGAAAAACAAATTAAAGCTTCTATGAAATATGTCATGGATGAATCAAGAGGTTAATTTCAAATGTATATTTTAATTTCAACCTTATGAACATATCTAATAGATATCTCTAAGAGAGAATATTCCAACCTTCTCATCGTCTTAAGTGGCTCAGTGTCTGGGTCTCTGATACCAGTGTCCGGATCAACAGTAACAACGATACACCTGCAAGAGTAATATAATATAATATAATATAATATAATATAATATAATATAATATAATATAATATAATATAAGGTACTACAATACAGTACTGTTAAATTAAGCAATCTTCCTTGCGAAATTACATAAATGTAGAATTTGGACGAATGCGGTATTGCAATTTGTATCACCTCTTTTAAAGATTAAATATATGATAGCAAATACCTAAACTTTCTTATGATACAACATATTTGAATAAAAAAGCTGAAAACAGAAACCAAGCACAGTAACGCGCCTCTGACAGAGCTTCACTTGGCGGAAGTAGTTGTCGCCGATCCGGAGTTTCTGCCAACTGTCCTGTTAAAAAGGAAAAATAAAACCTTCATCATAATTGTTTCAGAAAAATTGCTGAATTTCATATCATATTTAATGCTTTATAGTTTGTATTGTCTAAACAGAGATATACAATTTTGTTTCATGTATATCAATGTTCAATACTCAAAGCAGTTCTCTGCTATCAATACATGAAAATAATACGCCAGAGCAAAGTTTTAACTTTTAAAAAACAACGCGTAGGCCTACCTCTGCGAACTCACCACAACCAGATACAACCACATTTGGACGGAACCAAGACACTTCCACATGTTTGCCATCTGGCAGTGCCTTATTGACATTATTCAGCGAAGGCTCGGTCATCAGCATGACAGCGCTGTAGTCCGCAAAAGCAGTCTGGTAAATAATCATAATGAATACAGTTAGCATAGCAATCCAATATACTCAAAGGCATACAATGCGCGTTATATTAAACCTTAATAAAGCAAATGAATGAATAAGAGATATACTGGAAATTTCAGAGATTAGATCGATCTACTTTAGATCGACCTAACTCCCTGGGGGTTCACGCTAAATAGCAGTCAGCCGAGCGGACACGAAAGTTAATTACCCCCTTACCGCTTGTAGTAGGCGGGACGGACATTTAAGCCGGATTATCCGACAGTAATCTAGTGAGACTCCCCGCGGGGATAGATCGATCTAAAAGCTCTGGGAATACAGCCCTAAAATGCAACAGTTTTGATACAGGTATAACTATCAAATCAAAAAACAATTAACAGGCATTGAATATGCCAGTAAACGATTTTTATGTAGTTTTTTATCCTTTTAATACAAAGTACTAAGCTTTTTTTATCCATACAGCTTCTACTATTTTTTAATACAACGACGCTTTTACAGAGCATTTTACTCCCAATATAGTATATCTTATTGGCTAAATAAACCTTTATCTTATCTTAGTCACGTAGGTGTGACGTGACAGACCTTATATTACACCCTGACTCTACTATTCATAATCCATCGCATGGGGCCTGTTTTACAATGTCGACCTCCAGACCACTGGTTTCTGAATGTAGGGGGACTCGGACTTTCAATCACACCGGACTCTTTTTTCCGTCAGGCCGGCTTGGAAATATTTGAATTAAGATTTAAATTTTTCGGAGTGCCAAAATTAAGAAATGTAGAGTCATAAAATTTTCAGCATTTATTTAAAACGTCATTTTCCTAAATATTCCTAACTCCATTGCAATATCTTCAAACTGTTGAAGATATTGAACTCTGAAATTTGTAACATTTTTAGCCACCCGATTTATTGCACAACTGCATTTTTTTTTCAGTTTCAAGTTACCGCGTATTTGCGAACTTCAAGCGGTAATGTTACTTTGAATGGTTGTTTCTCTTCTGGGCGGAAGTGCCCAGTAAGTCGCCTTTGCCTCGTCTACCCTTTTCCGATTGTCTCTCTATTAGAATTTTTTTCATCTGACTACACACAGATATGAAGAAACATGTATTTAGTGAATTTGGTCTTCAGGAGAAATGGCGACAGATCTAGATGTAGAGTCACAACTGAAATTTGATAGTGGTTTACCTTGTCGCTGGGTCGGCAACGATTAATGTAATATGTATTTTTCTTTCGTATCTCTTGCTTGGGGAGACTGGGGTGGGAATATACAAAGCGCATTCCGTCTTTCTTCAGATATTTGCTGATCCACGCCGCAGCAGCGTCACCGCAATCCATACCTACGGTTTCCATATCACGCATCCTGTGATGAATAATGGATTACATCTTTTAAGGGTTGGAAGGCACGTTTCTTTGACAACAAGAGACGCACATTTTACGCCTCCCCCCCCCTCCCCCCATGTACTGATCTAATCTAATTTAATTGATTTTTGTTGTAACCGAATTAATATTTTAAAAGACCAGTCACGTTTGAGACATACACTGTAGAGAAACGCTCTAAGATATACGTAGAAATGGACAGATGCCTTGCATTGCAGTGTATAATATATATATACTAGTACTTTTAGTTAGTTTTTCAACCATTCATTTAAAAGGTGCGACAGTGTTTGGTATTTTTCTTTATCAAAGCTCGGGACAAGTTAGTATGATACGAGAAATTCTATGAAATCATTTTATTTCATTCATGTAGTGGATAAAGACCATTTTCAGCCTATTAATTAACTCACTTATAATCTCTGGGTTACTTTCCACACGGTAACGGTACTTACTTCAGATCCAAAACCTTGCTATCGTTGGATAATGTCATAGTGATTGGTAAATTCAGGGTGTCCATTCCTTCTGCGTCCAGACATATATGATTGTCACTGATGGTGACATTCACTGCGGCCAGCCTTGGTTGCTCAGCGATGTTAGCGAAGGTGCCATTCTCTTTTGAAACCATCCAGTGCCTTGTAAAGAGAAGAGTTTTACAGACATACTGGGACAAAAGTCATTAAAGTAATCGATTTTTCGGAAATGGAGAGAGAGAGAGAATAATGCCCCTCCCTACCCAATTTTACATCTGATATAGCCCTTTGTCAACATCTGATTACTGCGCCTTTACATATTACAAATTTTACGTCATCTTCTGTTCTGTTCCTCATATACCCTCATTGTTATTTGCCCGTTTGAGTGCTCATGGATATGCGATTTTAAAGGCTTAATTTGACTGGGCCAAGTGCAAGTGGGAGTAGTAAAGAAAAGCATATCATGAAATATAGATTTTATTATATAAAAGACTTGGAGACCAAAATATCCATTACAGAAACAAGAGAGAATTAAGCAAGACTAGTCTTTGTCTACCTTGTACCAGTCGGCAGTATTACAAAATTAAAGTAGTGGGTAGCCACCGCGCAACAACAGACGGATAGGAAAACTACGATAACTTACTTTTACCCCATGCAGAAAGCCCCGCGGCCATCAGCTACGACAAATTATCGACGGCGAGGAACTTTTTAAAATCAACATAGGAACCATGATTTATTTCTATAGTTTCTACAGTAAGATGTTTAATGACATCCTAACAAAACGCGTGGTCTTAGTGAACCGGATTGCCAAACGGTACCGTGTCTGTAGGGCCTACCTATCCATCATATCCCCGGATTTCAGACCCAATTTCGAGACCTGTGCTGCCTCCACTGAAACACCTTTGGCTGACTTCACAGGATAAATGATCAGATCAGCCACCCTGCCTACAAGCCTGAACTGTTGGGTGTTGCGGTATATCCACCATGTAAATACATATTTAGCAGCCGCTGCAGAGAGCAGGCCGGCAAACTGGGCAATCTCGTCCTGGCCCATGTTGTAAAGCGATTTGCGTTTACCAGGTGCCAAAGTGCAATATTCATACGATGCTAGCGACTTGCCCCGTCATGGCGACAAATGATAAGATGACCCATTTAACTCGTACCATTATTGTAGACCAGTGTCGGATTTAAGGGGTGACGGGGGGTCCCCTCTTGCATTTAGAAATTTAATAAGCTACGTCATAGTTCTTAACTGCACCAAATGGCACTGTTGACCCTCTAAAATACCAAAATTTTCGGGGCCTTCAGCGGACCCCGAACCCCACGCCCAGGGGTGGGGTGGGGGTCAGCTTCGCATCTGAGGACCCCCTTCAAGTTATCCTGGATCCGCCCCTGTAGACCTTTGGGCTTTCAGAAAAATAAATGCTGTCATTTAAGGGTAATTACTTTCAAAATAATTACTTGGTAAGAACCAAATATTTATCTTCCGTAACATTTATATGCATTCAAAATTTCTGTGTAAATAGCTATAGCTCCAAAATGTAGCTTAGACGTAGTATACGTGGAAGCGATGTCTGATTCCAAGTTTGACTTGCAGGTTTAGTTTAGTAAGTCACAGCAGGAAAGGCGTGTGCGGCGATGTAGATATGTAGACACCCTGGATAAAAACAGATAGAGATAGAGCGCGTTTGTTTGTCTAAACTGATAACATTTGTAACACATGTCAAAATTATTTTTAATCTCTTGTGTTCAAATAAAAGAAAAAGATATATATATAAAAGAAAAACAAGGCAGCAAAGCTGTTAAATGTACAGGCGAGATACTGTCAATTCTGATGCAGTATTACATTATGCTCAACTGTAAAGTCAACATCAAATTTTAATTATGCACAACAGGTAATACTGATGAAAGTAAAAGGACAAAGCTTCAGGCCCATGAGAGTTCAAGTTCACAATTAGAAAAAGCCAGAATGAGAAAAATGAAAATTTCACAAAAAAATGCATTAATTCAATAAAAATGATAATTCAATGCAGTTGGTTTTCTAATTTGAGCTGTACGTCAATCCTATGAATCGTTCTTGTAAGTTAAAGAAATAATAATTAACACAGTTTTCTTTTCATAATGTTTGTGGTGACAGTGCACGAAGTAGGCTTTTTGTCAATTTTGTTGCAATATTACATAATAATTTAAGGTATAATTACCACCAATTTGTAATCATCTTCTATTGATAACGTGGACATTTAAAAAAATTGATTACCACAGATGAAAATGTGACTGGCAGAGGTCTTCAAGTCCATGGAAGTTCAAAGTCACACCTCGAAAATTTCGATGTATGAAAACTTTAATTCTAGCAAAAAACTATATAATGTCCAGAAAAGTTCACCAATAAGACACGTTTTCCAATTGAAGCTATATTTTTGTCCAATGTTACTTTACTGTAAGTTTGAGAAGAGTAAGTGACATGGTTTTGATCTAATGGTCATTATAGAGACAGTACCCAAAATAGGATTTTCTTCAATTTTGATGCACTATATTACATGCTTAAAGGGATAATAACTCTTCATATGAGATCTATATTTCACAATAAAAACATTGTGAATAACTCACAGAAATATAATATATTCTGNGTGTTCAAATAAAAGAAAAAGATATGTATATAAAACAAAAACAAGGCAGCAAAGCTGTTAAATGTACAGGCGAGATACTGTCAATTCTGATGCAGTATTACATTATGCTCAACTGTAAAGTCAACATCAAATTTTAATTATGCACAACAGGTAATACTGATGAAAGTAAAAGGACAAAGCTTCAGGCCCATGAGAGTTCAAGTTCACAATTAGAAAAAGCCAGAATGAGAAAAATGAAAATTTCACAAAAAAATGCATTAATTCAATAAAAATGATAATTCAATGCAGTTGGTTTTCTAATTTGAGCTGTACGTCAATCCTATGAATCGTTCTTGTAAGTTAAAAAAATAATAATTAACACAGTTTTCTTTTCATAATGTTTGTGGTGACAGTGCACGAAGTAGGCTTTTTGTCAATTTTGTTGCAATATTACATAATAATTTAAGGTATAATTACCACCAATTTGTAATCATCTTCTATTGATAACGTGGACATTTAAAAAAATTGATTACCACAGATGAAAATGTGACTGGCAGAGGTCTTCAAGTCCATGGAAGTTCAAAGTCACATCTCGAAAATGTCGATGTATGAAAACTTTAATTCTAGCAAAAAACTATATAATGTCCAGAAAAGTTCACCAATAAGACACGTTTTCCAATTGAAGCTGTATTTTTGTCCAATGTTACTTTACTGTAAGTTTGAGAAGAGTAAGTGACATGGTTTTGATCTAATGGTCATTATAGAGACAGTGCCCAAAATAGGATTTTCTTCAATTTTGATGCAATATATTACATGCTTAAAGGGATAATAACTCTTCATATGAGATCTATATTTCACAATAAAAACATTGTGAATAACTCACAGCAATATAATATATTCTGTTTTACCACAAAAACGGCAGTTATAGCTATTATTCTGATATCTGAGCTTGTCTTTAGACCACGTGACCTCCATTGATGGCTATACTCTGCTAAAATCTCTTAAGAGATTTTAACAAAAAACCAAACTTTTTAGAAAAAAACCAGGGACTAACTTTGAATGTAAAAATGGATTCATTAACCATTGGTAAGTATGGGAAAATTGTTGTTTACTCCAGGAAAATTCAATTTTTTGGCCGAAACGAAGAGTTATTATCACTTTAACAGCATAATGACCAACAATTTTTAATAATAAAATAAATTTATCATGGATATTCAGAAAATGTGACTAGCAAAAGTCTTCAAGCCGATGAAAGTTCAGAGTCACACCTTGACAATGCTAAAATGTAAACAAGAGATAACTGTACTGAAAATGAGTTTATTTCCATTTTCAACACCTTTTCTACAAAATGGTCCAATTAAGCTAATTTTGGAAACTGGATCTGTATTTTAGTAAGATTGGTCACTCCTGTAGGTTTTAATACAAAAGGCTTGTTGGTTTTCCTTGAAATGTGCTATCAGTGTTGCATATATGCTGAAAAAAAAACAAAACAGCATAACTTTTCAAAAAATGGCCCGCTCATACTGATTTTCAAACTTGACGTGCGTATTATGAATATTCATCAGTTCAGTAAGTTTCAAGCCAAAAGGTCAAATGGTTTTCCACTTATCATGTTATCAGTGAAAGTGCACAGCTATGACGGCGATGGTGCAGCGACGACAGTTACGGTGATGGCTATACGTATAGACACCTCTGTGTCTGTACATAAAAACACTTAGCATTTAAAAATGTCTCATTAACAAAACATCTTCTAAAACTTATGAATATAATAAGGGACTATAGACTACTATGGGTTTTTCCATACAAGGCTTCTTCAGCAGCACCAGTGCAGGCAACCCATAACTTTTGTCACTGCATTTTTACATTACCAATTTGTTATGAAAACCTGTAAATTTTTTACCTATTCAATGACACATTTCAGAAAATCCCCCAGAAAGTCTAAAATTATAATTAAGAATTTTATATTGAAGATGTGTCAAGCAAAATTCTGAGAGCTAGCACTGTGCTGAAAGACACGCATAACGAAATACTCAAGGGTGAAACGGGTCCACCTTTAGTAAGGATGGATTCTCCTAGTTGCTACATGTATGTTGAATTGTTAAATAAACAAAGTTTTTCTCAGTCAATTACCACACAAAGTGTTTTCTTAATATTTTTATTGAGAATAACTTTTAAGTGAATCAGGTAGGTAAAAATATAAATAATTGGTTTAAATTCATATATTCAACAATAACAATTGTAAATGTTTAAAATTCAGATCTTCACATGAAACTAATATTATAACTGACACTGATAAGAAATATATTTCATTTCAGCAATGACAAAACATGTCTAACAGCAGTCATTTTATCCTTCATTGTTAATTATTACCTCTGCCAAGGAGGTTACCTTGTCACCTCCGTTTGTCCGTCTGTTTGTCAGCAGCCTAACTAAAAAAACTATGATTGCATTTTGATGAAATTTTCTTGTGAGATCAGAAATGGTTAACTTATAAAGTGTTAAGTTTTTTTTTTTTTTATGACCCATTAGTTAATCAATGGTTAATTATTACTAAATCATTTGTCTTAGCCGAGGTCTGCACTCTATGAGTGCTTTTCTAGTTATTTCTATATTCTCTGACAAAGATTTTCTCTTCAATTTTTCTCTTCAATCTCATCCCTGGACGGGTGTCACATAATTTCTAGTGATGGCTTGTAGCACTTGACACTGAAAGTAAAATAATTTAAAGATATAAAAACCATCATATGTTTCATGTGTTATTAGAACTTGTGTTATTAGAACTTGAAGTTAATACGTTTGTGATTAAACCAGTTGCTACAACAGCAAGTTACAAGGTAGTGTTATTTATAAGGAACACATCTCCTGATATTTAAAACATAAATTCCATAACTTTTCATTTATCTGTTTCATATATGTAACCGGTACATTGATGTTGGTACATATTGCCATTGCCTGTCTGTAAGAAACCATTCCCAAAGATATTTAGATCAATCTATCCCTCTGGGGAGTCTCACTAGATTGTTGTCAGCTTAAACGGCTTAAATGTCTGTTCCTCCTACTAAAAGCTGTAAGGTGTATGGTGTGACTACAGAAGCAGTATCTCAGTGTATCTGAGATAGGTTGTCTGTACATTTGTCAGCTGTACATATACCATCTGCAAATTTGGTTTAATATCTGTATGTTCTCATCTTACCTGGCCACTGCAAGTTTAGTCTTTCCTCAGCTAGACTTTGGAGTTTCCTTGTAAGTGCCTGGTCCATCTCAGCAACAGAGTCAATCTGTAATATGCCAAATAAATTGTTACATACAAACATATAAAATATTTATAAACATATTGCTGTTTGTCATAATGTCTTATAAAAGATCTTCAAAATATAAACAGTTTCATTGAAAAAGTTCATGAAATCTCAATTTATAATCTGGAATAAATAAAACAGAAAATAACAATCAATTTTGATCTTTGCCTTTGCCCAGCACTTCAATATAAAAAAAATGTTTAACTAAAAGTTTGCTAATTTTTCGGCCA